AGGCCTCCTTGGCATTGAGCAGGGGGGGCTCTTGGCATTGGAGGGGGCCTTGGCAGTGAGGTGATGCCGTGAAAGACGAAATCAGGACTCAATAGCCGGGGTGACTATTAAGCAGGTATTCTTTATTGCAGCGCTGGACGCACAGGGGATCGCTCCTCCAAATGTGCCATTCCCTTCTCCCTCAGGAACCAGCTTCTCCCTCAGGAGACCTAGAAATTCCCTTTTCCCTCAGAAACACCAGAAACAAGCTTCTCCCTCAGAAAACCTAGAAATTGACTTCTTCCTCAGGAAACCCAGAAATTCCCTTTTCCCTCAGGAAAACCAGAAACCTGCCTCTCCCCACCTACATGCCAGCCTTCCTGACTTGTTACTTATCGTAGCTCTGCAGGGGTTGCAGGCCCCTCTTTGTGGTCAGTCAGGCTACATTTGCTAAGTCATACTTAGATAAGCAAACCCTCAAGCCATTCCTGGCCTTATTCTTTAATTCAGAGGGGATGCTTGGCAATGGTGGGGGGGGCTTGGTCTGGGTCAGAGGAGGGGGGCCCTTGGCTACAGAGGCTGCAGGCCAGGGGCTAGTGGGGGGGGGGCTGTTCTGGGTCAGCGTGGGGTAGCCCTGGGGGGGCCCTGGGCTGCCAGGAGTCTCCCTGTGTGGGCACCATGCTGGGGGGGCACAAGGCCAGTACATCCCTGAGTGGAAAGGGTTTGGAAACAACGCACTGGAGGGGTGATGGGGAGCAGCTCCAACCTTCTCCTCCCAAATATTTCTCATCTCTCTGGAGCTTCCCCCGTCTTCTGCCGCTGTTGCTCATGGCTGATCCTTCTGCTCCACAGCTGGAGTGTCTTCTCGTGGCTGACGAGCTCTGCTCCCCATCATGATCGAAGCCATAACCCATGAGGGGTCCCCACGAAACAACCGTGGCTCAACACTCGTGTCCTCTGCTGCCGTCACCAATGGAAGAGCATGAGAATAGGAAAAAAAGATGAATGCAGGTGAAGCCTGGGCGGGTTTTCTTCTCCTCTTGGGTTCCTGGACTTGAGTCCTGTGCCACAATCCTGACACTTTGGGGTTTTGCTGTCCCGGGGTGGGAGGGCAGAGGTTTTGCCCCCAGTCTTACGCCTGGTCTCACGTGAGACCTTTCAGCAGCGGGAATGGGCACGGAGCTGGTACCTCGGCTCTGACGTTTGAGTAGAAGAATTGGGGTGCTTCAATTTGTGCTGTGTAATCTGAGAATGTGCCCTTGTGGCCAAGAAGGCCAATGGCATCCTGGGTAGTATCAAGAAGAGTGTGACCAGCAGGTAGAGAGAGGTCATCCTGCCCCTCTGCTCTGCCCTGGGGAGGCCCCATCTGGAGAACTGGGACCAGTTCTGGGCCAGTTCCAGAGAACTGCTGGAGAGGGGACAACAAAGAGCTACAAAGATGATGAGGAGCCTGGAGCATCTCTCTGCTGAGGAAAGGCTGAGGGACTTGGGTCTTTTTAGTCTGGAGAAGAGAAGGCTGAGGGGGGATCTGATCAACACCCATAAATACTTCTAGGGGGGGTGTCAGGAAGATGGGGCCAGGCTTTTTTCAGTGGTGCCCAGTGACAGGGCAAGAGGAAATGGGCACAAACTTGAATATAAGACGTTCCATCTCAGCAAGAGGAGGAACTTCTTTCCTGTGAGGGCGGCAGCGGCGTGGGAGATGTTGCCCAGAGAGGGGGGGGACTCTCCTTCTCTGGAGACATTCAAACCCCCCCTGGTCTCGTTCCTGAGGGACCTGCTCTGGGTGGCCCTGCTTTGGCAGGGGGTTGGACTAGATGATCTCCAGAGGTCCCTTCCAACCCCATGTGATTCTGTGAGAAACTTCTCGATTTCCAGTGAGAAATGCCATCTTTAAGTAAAATCATCGAATAGAAACATTTAGGTTGAAAAAGACCTTAAAGATCATCAAGCCCAACCGTAAACCGAACGACACCGAGTCCGCCGCTAAACCGTGTCCCTAAATGCCAGGGGACAGTCCTTGCATTGCTGTTTTTCTCCTGCTTGCCTCGTTTTGTCGTGTTTTGAGGAACACGGGATGTTAGAAAACAGCCTCCCCGGGGAGCTCAGTGGGTGCTTCTAACGCCGCTCTCTCGAGCTGACGTAGATGAAAAGGAGGAAGCGGCATAAATGAAGCAAAGTGGCCCTTGGATCCTGCGGCACGAGATCAGTCGATTACTTTCATGGCTGCCAGAAACAAATTAGAGGAGCTTCTCCTCCGCAGCATGGCATAATAAATAAAGTAAAAGTGAAACAGCGTGAGCAGTGGTGGCTGATAATTCTCCTGTCGGAAAGAAGCCCCATCCTGAGCCCTGGATTCGGGTTTTTTGGGAGCGTTTTCGGTAGAAGCAAATTGCACTGTTTGCACTTTTCCTGCTGGTCGTCCCGGAAAAGAGGAGCTCGTGCAGATTTCGAGTAAGGTTTTCTTCAAATCACTCTGCAGGTGCTTTTATGCTGCTGCTTAAACTGTCCTGGTGGGGAAGAGCTGTGCTGGAAGTGGGTTGTGTTTCCTCCTTAATGGAGGATCCCGGCTTGGATTTGTTTGCGAGAGGCTCGAGTTTGTGTGTTTTGGCTCTGACCTTGCTCGGGTGAGTCACTGGGCTCTCTTGTGGGGGTTTGAGCAGCTGACCCTCCACGGGCTTCCTCGGCGTCCTGATACTTTGCATTTAGACAAATGTCTGTCTCTGCTTCCTCCGTGTTACGGAGCTGCAAAACTTGCAGGGATTCTGGTTTTACGTCATCTTTTTTTTGTGTTGCAAACCCTCCACAACGCAGGAGCAGGGACACGGGGTGCAGTTGCTGTCGCAGGGACTGCAGATGTATCACCCTGACACAATGCATTTTCCCCCTTAGCACGTCACCAGAGGGTTGTACAAGCTTCTGCTGTGATTTATTCCTAAATAACTAAATTTCCGAAACTCCTGGCTGAAACGCTGGGGCTGTCCTCTAAAATTCCTGAAAAGAATCTGTGTTTATGCCTCTGTTAAAAGGCGTGGATTGTATATGGTTGCTTGCTAACAGTTTGCTTTTGGGGGGCTTTTTTTTTGTGTTTTGTTTTGCATGTTGGCAAAGCAATGAAGGGATTCAAGAAAACCCACCTGACGCTCGGTGACTGCGAAGCCCTCGCGCGGAGCGTGGAAGGTTCATCCTCCCTGAGGCAGCCGTTGAGTCACAGTAAAAGCAGAGGAGATGTCAACAGGGGCCTCTATCCCACCCACCGGACGAGGAGAAGCCAAGGAGGTACACTGATGGCAAATATTTTGAAGGATGAGGGATTTGGGGGAGAAAAACGCTGATGTGGTGTGGAGCAAAAGGGCGTTGTGCTGATGGGAGAGTAATACCGGGTGAGGTGACTGCAAGTAGAAGAAATTGGTCATTTTTGAGTGGTGTGTGGCAAAACTGGGCTTAATCTCTGCCTCTGCAGAGTCAAGTGGCAAGAAAAAGAGATACCCCTGTATTTAGGCGTTATTAATGATGTGACTCCTGCTTCTAGATGCTCCTTAAGATGCTTATTAAATAATAACGAGCTGTCTAGTTGTACAGAACTGCAAAAGTGTTGTTGAGCACTTAAAAGATATTAATGAGCTTCAACTTTCCTGGGTGGGGGAAATGTTGTGATACACAGCTTGTAGACACAGGCCTCAAAAGTGCCAAAATTTGAGAGGGTTTTTGAAGGTTGATAAGACTTTTTGCTAATCTGCACCCGACAGGGCTTGGGGGCTCAAACTGAAGAGCTGTTTTCAAGTAGCTCATGGTGCAGGGTTCAAGGCCCAGCCTCAAAGCCTGTGTAACAACAAGAGACACTACACACACCTGTGGGTGAGGAGATGGGTAGGAAGCAAAGAAAAAACATCCTGAGTTATTCCTGAGTGCCTTGGTCACTGTGGAAGGTGAGACTTTGGAGCATTTTGGTGTTTCCCTGGAAGACTTGGAGGATCTCTCTCTACCTTGGTGACTCGCTTCACAGGAGATGTGTCTGCTGGTGAGCCAGGAGGAGACATCAGAGTCTTAGACTCTCTGCTCATAGATTATAGTTTTCTTTTCCATTTTCATATCAGCGATATCTTTGATTATTTCACTTTAAAAAAAAAAAAAAGTAGTAATCTGAGATCCTGCAGGTTTTTAGGGTATTGGACTTGAACGTTGGCAAGGGAACTGTTGCTTTTAAGCAGCAAGTGTCTTGCAAATCAGACCTTTTTAAGCTAAGCCTTCGTGAGCATCCAGAAATAAAACACATTAAAATCAGCAGTAGCTGCTTGTGATTCTGTTTTTTGCTTCTCAAGTTGCTTCTTAGCGAAGCATCAGGTTAATTTCCAGACTAGGAGCAGGACAGAATGAATACTGTCAGGGATGGTAAGTTTAGTCTGTGTGCTACATGGTCTGTGAGGCTGTCAGAGAAAGGAGAGGCTGCTGAGAGTAGTCTCTTGCCAAGTTTCGGTTTCCTTTATGGTCTCCAGTGCTTTTATGACATCGCAGGCAGGAAATATCTGGCAAGAAGTGGCTCTTAAAGACGCCGGTGTCTCTCGTACTGTGGTAGGAACAGCCCGAGAGAGGCAGGGTGCTGTGACCTTCTCATGGTGCAGAGCAGTAGTTAAACCCTGAAGCTTCTCAAAAATCATAGCGTGCTTCTCCTTCACCAGGTTTAAGAATGATAAATAATGTATATAAACAATAACAATAAATAACTGCTGGGAGCCCAGCCTCAGTGTGGGGCACGCCACAACAACGTGAGGCTCACATTTTGTTTCCTTCCTATTTTCTGTGCCTCTGGCCGGTGGAAATACCTCCTGTGAAATTCATTCTGCAACTACATTTGTGTTTCACACACACCTGCTGCGTTATGTAGCTAAGGATTGTTGGTCTGAGAGATTATAAATTCTGCAACTCCATTTGTGTTTCACACGCGCCTGCTGCGTTACGTAGCTAAGGATTGTTGGTCTGAGAGATTATTATGCAAACCACAAGACGATTATGCAAACCACGTCTTCTTCTAGAAGCTAGTGGAGGTGTCAGATGGACCTTGAGAGTGCCCAGATAATGCAGACAGTGCAAAAAGATGGATGTTGTTCTGTTGCTCCATCCCTCTGATCATCTTCATTATGCAAACCACAAGATGATTATGCAAACCACGTCTTCTTCTAGAAGCTAGTGGAGGTGTCAGATGGACCTTGAGAGTGCCCAGATAATGCAGACAGTGCAAAAAGATGGATGTTGTTCTGTTGCTCCATCCCTCTGATCATCTTCGTGGCCCTCCGCTGCACCTGGACCAGCTGGAACAGGTGAAGCAGAGGGCCACGAAGATGATCAGAGGGATGGAGCACCTCTCCTATGAAGACAGGCTGAGGGAGCTGGGATTGTTCAGCCTGGAGAAGAGAAGGCTCCGGGGAGACCTTATAGCGGCCTTTCAATATCTGAAGGGTGCCTATAGAAGAGCTGGGGAGGGACTCTTTGCCAGGAAGGGTAATGATAGGACAAGGGGAAACAGTTTTAAATTGGAAGAAAAAAGATTCAGATTAGATATCAGAAAGAAATTTTTTACTATGAGGGTGGTGAGACACTGGAACAGGTTGCCCAGGGAAGTTGTGGCTGCCCCATCCCTGGAGGGGTTCAAGGCCAGGCTGGATGTGGCCTTGAGCAACCTGCTCTAGTGGGAGGTGTCCCTGCCCATGGCAGGGGGGTTGGAACTAGATGATCTTTGAGGTCCCTTCCAACCCAAACCATTCTATGATTCTATGATTCTATGACTTCCATAGGTTGCCCGAGAAGCAATATGAAGCGGGGACAGTTCACCTGTAGGAAGCTCCTATGTCTGTGAGGAACCTTGTGGAAATAACCACCACCTTACACAGCTTCTGGTCTCCTTGTTAGTGGACTTTGCGCTTGTTTCTGTTGACCTCGCTCATGCTCTTCCTCTTCCTGCAGGCCAAAGTCAGCAGAAGAACATCACCGATTACTTCACTGTCTCTCAGATACAGCAAGTAGGTGCCGGTGGGACGAAGAACAGTCGAATCAAAGAAGAGCTACCAGACCCCATCTTCTCTGATGCTGATGATTCCTTCAGCGATGTCTCCACTAAGATGGAGATCAGCGGTGATTCCTGCTCTTTTCTGGAGGATGAGGACCTTGACCCAAATCCCAAGGAAAGCTTCAGGAAACGGCCTCTGTCCACTGCAGCTGCAGGCGTTTGCAAGCCAGAGGATGATTTGTGGGGGGAGCCTGAGAAGAAGCCAATGGTGGTTTCTCCAGAACACATCCAGATCAAGCAGGAACTGGATGATATGGACATTGAACCGCTCCCCGATGCACACTACGGACTCCTGGGGACTCGGAACTGGGAAGTACCTCAGGGAAGTATCGACAAGCTGCCTGTTGAAGTCCTGAGGCACATCTTTGCTTTCCTACCAGTGACTGATCTGTATCAGAACCTGAGCCTGGTGTGTCACTGCTGGAGGGACATAGTCAGTGATCCACTGGTAAGGGCTGCTGGGATATTGATTTGAGCCTGTCCCTTCTCCTGCTGCTCTGTTCTGTCTCGGTCTTGTTGCTGTAGGAGCATCCATGCTGTGTCTGTCTCTCTTTGCTCTTTAAATCCCTTTATTGTTCCCCAATGCCCACGTCCTTTCTTACGAGGTCTTTTCTCATTTTTTGGTCTTCAGAACTACAGTGGCATCTGCAGATGTCACCTGTATCAGGAGATCAATATTGGGGTAATTTCCCTCGATGCGTTTTCCGTGTGCACAGAAAGAGAGCATCCTGTAAGACTCCACAAAATCCCGCTGTTTTTCTTGCAACCTTGTTTTTTTTTTTTTAAGCTGACCAGGACCATGCAGAAGATCCTGGCTGGCAGCCTGGGCAGTGTCCTCTCGTGGCCATTGTATGTCACTGTCCCCCAGCCTGCGTTCATGTGGTTCATCCACAGTCAAGGCCATCAGGTTACAAACAATCATGAAACCACTGACAGTTGTTTTTTTGGCCCCAGAGAGGAATCTCTGCATTTCAGTGAAAGGTGGCTTGGAGACAGCTGGCACTGCTACGCTCCTTCATGCTGGAAGTCCTCAGCTTGTGTGAAGAAGCTGTCTCAGAGTGGTGGGGGACTGATGGCAGCCCAAATTTTGATGGCCATCCACGCTTTTCTTCATGCCCTTCCAATAAATTTGGATGGGTAAGGCTGGAAACAATGCAGGAGGTGTCCTGCCTTTATCATCACGTGGTTTGAGCCTGAAGAGCTAGAGAGATGCATGGAAAATGCATCAAGACCTGTCCTAAATCTGCTCTTCACTCCATATCACAGCCTAAAAGGCTCTCTTTTTACCAAGGAAAGCTAAACAGTGGGCTGTGGGAGGGTAGAACTTCATGGACATGGGGATTTTAAGCCCTCAGACCCCACTCAGAGCAGATCTGTGCAATAGTGCTGAAAATATCCTCATGCCTTTAATGCTTTGGGGTTTGAAACCAAACCAATATCACCCTACTTCCATCATTCTAGAAAAAACAGCCGAAATAGACAAGTTTGCAGGCCGTGAGGAACAAATTCTTCTCTTTTTCCTGTTTCCTCTTTCCTTTCCCATCTCATGCTAGATCCCTGCTTCCATCAAGCTACAGGGACTTTTTGAACACCAGGTCTTCTTTGGAAGCCACGTTGATTAGCTTATTGCCAGAAGAAACCTGTTTTCCAATGCTGTGAGGTGAAAGTGGGTGATATGTGCTTCACATTCCAGTTCATTCCTTGGAAAAAGCTCTACCATCAGTACCTGATGAAGGAGGACACGGCCCTGCACAGAGTCGAACAGATCTTGCAGGTTTTCTCCATAACAAAGGAGCAGGAAGGATGTATTTTGGGACTGATCAGGTGAGTTTGGCTTTTTTTGGTTTAACCCCAGCTGGGAACTAAGCACCACGTAGTCGCTCGCTCACTCCCTCCGCTTGGGATGGGGGAGAGAATTGGAAGAATAAAAGCAAGGGGGGAAAAAAAAAAAAGCCTCGTGGGTTGAGGTCCAGACAGTTTAATAAGTAAAGCAAAAGCTGTGCACGCAAGCAGAGCAAAACAAGGAATTAATTAACTGCTTCCTGTCAGCAGGCGGGCGTTCAGCCATCTCCATCACACGTAGCAGTTACTTGGGAAGAAAAATGCCATAATTCCAAACATCCCTCTCTTCCTTCTTCTTCCCCCAGCTTTATATACTGAGCGTGACGTCATATATGGCATGGAATATGTGTGTTCCTCAAGGGTCTGTGCTGGGGCCAGCACTGTTTAACATTTTTATCAATGATATAGACAGGGGGATTAAAGGCACCATCAGCAAGTTTGCAGATGACACCAAGTTGTGTGGTGTTGTCGATACACCAGAGGGATGGGATGTCATCCAAAAGGACCTGGACAGGCTGGAGAGGTGGGCCCAGGTGAACC